TGAAGAAGGTTAAAGATCTAAGAGCTCTCAACAAGGTTATCCAACCTATGGGTCCTCTACAATCTGGAATTCCTCTGCCTTTTCTATTACGAAAAGAATGGCCTCATATAGTTATTGATTTAAAGGATTGATTCTTCACTATACCTTTACAAGAAAAGAATCAAGAAAAAATTGCTATCACAGTGCCTACTTATAATAATTCTCAGCCTACTAGAAGATACCAGTGAACTATCCTCCCACAGGGAATGCTCAGTAGTCCCACCCTGTGACAATACTTCATAAATCAGCCATTGGAAATAATACGCAAGCAATTTCCTAAGTCTATAATTTACCATTACATGGACAACATTTTGTTATCTGACTCAAATGCAGATACTTTAGAAAAAAATGTTAGAAGTAAAAATGTTTAGCCTAAATGAGGATTAAAAATTGCTCCTGAAAAAAATACAAAGAGGAGATTCTGTCAATTACCTAGGTTGCAAAATAGGTTTACAGAAAATTAGAACACAAAAGGCACAGATTAGGAGAGAATGGTTGTGGACTCTTAATGACTTTCAGAGATTTTTAGATGATATTTCCAGTCTATGGCCGGCTGTTGGGATAACACCTGACTTAATAGTTCACTTAAACAAAACCTTAAATGGTGACAAAGACTTAAGTAGTCCCAGAGAATTAACAGCTTAAGCTGAAAAAGAATTGATAGTCGTTGAAGAGAAATTACAGGAGGCACATGTAGATAGAGTGAATCCAAATCTTAATTTTATTCTAGTCATTTTGCCTTTCAGAATTTCCCATACAGGAATCTTAATGCAGAGGGAAGATATTATCTTAGAATAGACAATTTTACCACATAAGCCAAGTAAAAAAATTAAAAACTTATGTGGAAAAAGTCTCTGAATTAATTAAAAAAGGTAAATTGAGACTATGTCAATTAGCAGGTATAGACCCAGCATAGAATACAGTTCCTTTTACTACTGATGAAATAAAAAAAAATATGAGAAGACAAAGAAACTTGGCAAAGAGCTTATGCTAAGTTTTTGGGAGAAATTAACAGCAATTATTCCAAAAGCGATAGACTTAACCTTATAAAGAGAACTACTTGGATTCTTCTCTGAATTGTACATGGCACACAAATAACTGGGGCCTGCACATTTTATACAGATGCAAATAAACCAGGAAAGGCAGGTTACAAATCAGAAGAATTAAGGTAGAACAAAGCCCTTATACTTCTGTACTATTCTCACGGTACTAAGGGATTTTAAAGAACCTCTCAAAATAGTTACTGGTTTGCAATACGCAGAAAGAGTTGTCTTGCATATTGAAACCACTGAATTTATACCAGATGATGCAGGATTGAGTTTATTATTCATATAGGTTCAGATATAATCAGGAATAGACTTTATTCTATATACATAACCGACATCCGATTCCATACGGGTCTGCCAGGTCCTCTAGCACAAGGTGATGCAGATTGATTGGAAGTGTGTTTCAGGCTTCTGAATTTCATTTTAAAAACATCATGTCAATAGCCAAGGCTTAAAGAAAGTTTTCTATTACATGGCAACAAGCTAAGGAGATTATAAAGAGATGTGCTACTTGTTCTTTCTATAGTCAAACACCATAGGCTTCAGGGAGTAACCCAACGGGTACTCAAAGGAATAAAATATGGCAGATAGATGTGTTCCACTTTATGGAATTTGGTAAATTAAAATATGTACACCACACCATAGATACATACATATTCAGGTTTTCAATGGGCACTGCCTTGAACTCATAAAAGACTGATTCAGTAATCCTGCATTTATTGGAAGTTATGACTATCATGAGCATTCCTGGACAAATAGACAGACAATGATCCAGCATATGTATCTAAGAAAATGAAATGGGTTTTGGCTTATTATAATATAAAGCACATTATCAGTATACCAAATAATTCTACAGGTAAGGCAGTTATAGAAAGGTCAAATCATACTATAAAGGATATGCTGAATAAACAGAAAGAGATGGAAAATACTGCCAGAAATAGATTCCATAATGCTTTATTAACCTTGAATTTTCTTAATACTCATGAGAAAGGAACAGCAGCAGCAGAGAAGCACTGGATAACGGAAAAAAACTTCTGAATTGAATCAACCAGTGTCGACCTCACAATGGAAACTAGGAGACATGCTACAGTGGTTTTGCTCTTGTTTCCACAGGAGAAGAAAAATTATATCAAGATTAATATTCATTTTAAAAAGGAGAAACCTCTTGGAAAAGAGAAATGACAGCTCATCAATAGTGGTGGCAATCACACAAGTGGTAAAAAACTTCATAAGGGTTGGGGCAGGGTTCTGCTCTTATCTTTACAGGACAATACACATCATCAAAAATTCAAGAGACCCTGGATGTTTGAATGCTGACAGAAGGAAAAATAACTATCCACTATGGATCATCTAGAAAATAAAATATGAATGAGGCCAGGTACTGGTTACACATACATTTACACACACACACACACACACACACACACACACACACACACACACACGTTTGTATGTATAATGTGTGTATGTGTGTGTGTGTGTGTGTGTGTGTGTGTATTCATCTGGTTTTCGAGTTGAACAATGTCTCTGTACTTCTCTATATCCACGCTTGTTGTTAAAACATACATTCAGAGTTTTTGTCTTGTATCGGGAGCCATCTGGTATGGAACAGAAGGAAGACTTTAGGAAAAATTTTACTTTCTCCATCTCTATTTTGTCTATATTATATTCTTCATTGAATGTATGTTTGTATGAATGATGCTTAAGTTTTCCACAATGAACAATAGATTTTCCTACAGATCCTTTTCCTGAAGTAATCTTTGAAATTTCCAGGAAGAAGATGGGGCCCGACAGCAAGAACTCTGCCTGACTGAGATGATATCATGACGCTGATAACACTACTATAAGACTGGTATTTATGGGTACCAGCTGCTGAAATGGTGCACCTTCTCAAGATGTTCTGGCCAGAACTCCAAATAAGAACTTTAGGAAAATAAAAAAAAAACACCTGCTCGGAAATCATTTGCATCTATACATCTAGTTAACCATCACTTTACTTTTGCAGGATCCCATTAGAATAACATTGCCCCCATAACAGTGGAAAGCAATCCTAGGAGATAACTCCCCCTATCCCCCAAAAAAAGTTTGTCCGTAGGGTTGAGAACAGTTTAGGGATTGTTGATTATTGCTTGTACTACATAGAGGGTTAGGGTGAAAACTATGTTTGTTCAAAATAAAGGGATAATAATAGTTGGTAATAGAGTGAATAATTGTGAGCTATTATTTATGGATAAATTTACATTGGTATAGTTTTTGTATATTGGTACAATTTCAAATTATATTTGTTATTTTTGTTTACATTATTTGTATAACTATGCAAAGTTATTCTGTCAGATTGTATATATGCAATTTTCTACCTCTTTTTAGGACATTTTGCATATTGATACAACTTTTAGAATATATTTTCATATTGCATTTAGCATGTGTTCCTTGTTTAATATTGTTTATGCTGGTTGTAATTCTAATTATACTTGATATCTGTTGCTAGTGTATATAGTTTTGTATTGGGTTTGGAACTCTCTTATTTAAACAAAAGGGAGAGGTGCTATGTGAGCACATTTCACTTCTTCAGTCAATAGCCTTTAAGATACCAGTCCACTTGGGTATGGTCTCTGATACTCTAAAAGCAGTTGTAAAGCATGTGCCTGGTCTCTTGCTTCTGGCTCCCAATTCTGGCTGGTTGACTCTGTTCCTGTTCGCACAGAAGACTGTTATCTAGGACAGTGATCTGTAAGTTTTCTTCTTAAATAAATAACCTTTTTATTATTCATCATTCTGAACTGGTGTATGATTATTTTGTGACTTCCATCATCAGCTAGTATATTTCAAGGATGTGCTGACCTCACAATGGAAACCAAGAGATGTGCTTACATTGGGGAAGGGGTTTTGAACTTGTTTACACATGGAAAAAAAAAAGCTATAGATACCATCAAAATTGATAGAGATTCGGTTTGAAAAGGAGAAACCTCTTGAGAAAGAGAAGTGATGGCTCATCCACAGAGGTGACAGTTATGCAGGTGGTAAGAAAAATCTCATAAGTGTTGGGGCAGGGTTCTGTCCTTTTCCTTGCAGGAAAATATTCATCTTCAAAGAGTAGAGAAACCTTGGACATCTAGATACCTAAAGATAAAAAGATAGCTATCCATAAAGAATCAACAAGCAAAAAGAAATCTGCTTTATGATGCTGTATTATCTGCATGGTAAAATTTGATTGTTTAGACATATATATATATATATATATATAGAAATATATATATATTTCTACTTAAAAATAAGAGCTGGCTTTGGAGCTAGACAATGGCTATCCTTCTCTAAATCCAAACAAGCAGTTAAAAAAAATTCAGAATTTCTGTCTCATGTCAAGAACCATCTGGTATGGGACAGAAAGAAGATATAGTATAAGGAAATATTTTACTTTCTCCATGACCATTTTGTTTACATCATATCTTTCATTGGATATATGTCTATATGAATAATGCTTCAGTTTTCTGCAATGAACAGTAGATTTTCCTGCAATAACCTTTGAAGCTTCCAGGAAGAAGATGGAGCACCACAACAATGACTCCACCTGATTGATATGACGTCATGATGCTGATGGCACTACTATGAGACTGGTTTTGGGGTACCAGCAGTGGAAATGGTGTACCTTCTTACAACATTCTGGCCAGAACTCCAAATAAGAACTTCAAAACAAACAAACAAACAAACAAACAAAAAGACCCTATCGACTACTCAGAGACCATATGTACAAAACAGTAATCTTGAAACTTAATCATCATTTTAATTTTACAAGATCCCATAGGAAAGGCAATGCCCCATGATAACAGGAAGCAACTGAAGAAAGCAACGTTCTCTCTCCCCACAAAGTTTGTACTCATGGTTAGAGACACCATTTAGGGTTTGATTATTACTCACATAGGATTGGGAGTTTGAGTGGAAATTATGTAGGCCTAGAGATAAAAAAAAGGAAGATTGAATGAGATAATAGGTAATTTAATTTCAACTTATTCACACTAATAATAGTAATAATAGTGAGTAATAGAGTGAATACTAGTGAGCTATTATTTATGGAAAATTTACACTTGTATACTTTCTTATATACTGATAAAAGATCAAATTATATTCGTTATTCCACTTTACAATATTTGTACACCTATATAAAGTTATTTTGTCATATTGCACGCATGCATGTCTCTACCTCTATTTAAGATATTTTGTATATTGATACAATTTTAAGATGTATATTTATCATATTGCATTATATATTTCTCCCCCTGATTAAGATACTTATACACTGTAACTCGAACCAAACAAGTAGAAAACTTATATGACATGAACTTTAAATCTTTAAAGAAAGAAACTGAAGAAGACACCAGAAAGTAGAAAGAGCTCCCATACTCTTGGGTAGGCAGAATTAACATAGTAAAAAATGGCATTTTTACCAAAAGCAATCTACAGATTCAATGCAATGCCCATCAAAATACCAGCAAAATTCTTCAAAGACCACGAAAAAACAGTACTCAACCTCAATAGGAAAAGCAAAAAGCCCAAGTTAGCCAAAACAATCCTGTATAATAAAAGAACATCAGGAAGCATCACAATCCTTGACTTCAAACTCTACTATAGAGCGACAGTACTGAAAACAGCCTGGTATTGGCATAAGAAAAGATAGGAGGAACAATGAAAAGAAATAGAAGACTTGAATATTAATCCACACCCCCTTAAAACACCTGATTTTTGACAAAGAAGCAAAAAATATCAAAAGGAAAAAAGAAAGCATATTTAACAAGTGGTACTGACATAACTGGATATCAACATGTAGAAGAATGAAAATAGATCCATATCTATCACCATGCACAAAACTCAAGTCCAAATGGATCAAAGACTTCAACATAAAGCCAGCCACACTGAACCTTAGAGAAGAGAAAGTGGGAAGTACACTTGAATGCATTGGCACAGGGAAACACTTCCTAAATAGAACCCCAGCAGCACAGACACTGAGAGAAACAATTAATAAATGGGACCTCCTGAAACTGAAAAGCTTCTGTAAAGCAAAGGACATGGTCAACAAGACAAAACAACAGCCTACAGAATGGGAAAAGATCTTCACTAACCCCACATCAGACAGAGGTCTGATCTCCAAATTATATAAAGAACTCAAGAAATTGGACACCAAAAGATCACATAATCCAATTAAAAAAAATGGAGTACAGACCTAAACAGAAAAATCTCAACAGAGGAATCTAAAATGGCTGAAAGACACTTAAGGAAATGTTCAATGTCCTTAGTCATCAGAGAAATGCAAATCAAAACAACTCTGAGATTCCATCTTCCAACTGTAAGAATGGCCAAGATCAAACACACTGATGACAACTTATGCTGAAGAGGTTGTGAGGGGGGGAAAAAACACTTCTGCATTGCTAGTGGGAATGCAAACTGGTACAGTCCCTTTGGATGTCAGTGTGGTGATTTCTCAGAAAATTAGGAAACAACCTTCCTCAAGACCCAGTAATACCACTTTTGGGTATATATCCAAAGGATACTCAATCATATCACAAGGACATATGCTCAACTATGTTCGTAGCAACTTTGTTTGTCATGGCAAGAACCTGAAAACAACCTAAATGCTCCTCAACCAAAGAATAGATAGGGAAAATGTGGTACATTTACACAATGGAGTACTACACAGCAGAAAAAAATGATGGCAGCTTGAATTTCGCAGGAAAATGGATAGAGCTAGAAAACATTATTTTGAGTGAGCTAACCCAGACACAGGAAGACAATTATCATATGTACTCACTCATAGGTGGTTTTTTTAAAAATAATGCAAAGAAAGCCAGCCTACAAACCACAATCCCAGATAACTTAGACAACAATGCAGACACTAAGAGAGACTTACATAGATCTAATCTACATGGGAAGTAGAAGGTAGAAAAAGAAAAGATCTCCTGAGTAAATTGGGAGCATGGGGACCTTGGGGGAGGGTTGAAGGGGGTTAGAGCAGAAGCAGGGAGGGGAGCAGAGAAAAATGAAGAGCTCAATAAATATCAATAAAAACTGTATAAAAAAAAAGCTGATATGAATCTCTATTCACTTGGTCACCCTGGTTAATTACTCTCCTGTCAGCATTGGCTGGGCCCTTGATCCACTTTCTGTTGGTCTTAACCTATGGACCTTGCATCATTAACGCCCTAGTCAAATTTATAAAGGAGCAGATCTCTATGGTTCAACTAGTGGTTCTAAACAACAATACAAGCCTATAAATTTAGAAGAAAAACATCTCAAGGATTTGAAATTCTACTCAAGGAGGAATGAGAGGGACACAGAGCAAGACCACAAGCATGACAGGTTTCTAACAACCCCTGTCAGGGACTAGGCCTTAGTTTGGTTTACTGGAACTGGCAGTTGAGCAAGCAGTTCTTGGAAAAACCACAACTCAGGAGCAATCAGTTACCAGGGACCCCAAAGCCTCCTGCTAGCTCAGCAGATGCCCCACAGCCTCCTGCTAGTTAAAGATAGTTTTCCATACCCTGCTATTGCAAAGTTCCTAGAACCACCTGCCAATCCTATGAAAGTTTGGTTTATACCCACCAATCAGTCCCCAGAATAGCCTCTCCTCTCTAGAATGCCCTAACCCTGTATAAAAGATGTGTGTGAGCTTCTCTGGGGACTGCCATTTGTCACCCCAACATGTTGGCAGCTTTTTTAATAAATGTTCTTGCTGACTGCATACGTGACTGATGGTCCTTTACAGAATTTCTCTCAGACCCTAATAAACAGTTCATAAAGCAGATCAGCTGAAATGGTTTCCCACATGAGCTCCCTCAGCCTAGGTGTTCCTCTGCTTCCTGCCCAAGACTAGACTGTATGGACAGGGTAGGCTGATGGGACACATTCTGTTAGAATGTGATATATCATGTGCACATCATGCACAGCTTCATCAGTGAACCTTAGAAGAAGCACTGCCATGATAGCCTAGGCTAAACGCCATGGGAAGCAGGATTCCTATACC